TGATCCAACACATACCGCAATACCACTTTAAAGTAAAATTGTTTCAGCGAGAGTAGAACTCGCGTACGTACGAAGAAATTCGTACAAACAACGTTGTGAGAATCATTTTGTTAAAGTACGTAACAAGCGTATACAGTGATTTATGGACGAGAGTCGTCCCGTGGACGAGATGTATCGTCGACTAATGTCGCTCATCGCCCTGACAATCTGTCCCCGATTAGCGGCCATTTCGGATTCAACGCGTTGCGCGGCAAAGAAGTAGCGGCGAGTCGGTATATTTTCCGCGTTTCCACGACGAATATCTCGCGTTCGCGAGAGGCAGGGAGCAAGCGGCAGCCGGCGAATTCCCGGTATTGAGACGTAGGACGGGCCGATGCAGACCGAAAAAGAAAAAGCAAGCCGCGAGAGAAGGTCCACCATTTTCCGAAGCTATTCTAGAGTGTTATGCAACTGCCGGCCAATGCATTTGGCCGGGCAGAGCTTTATGGCCGAAGCTCACACGCGCAAAAATGTTTGTTTTAACTCCGGTGCTGCCCCCCTCCCCCTCCTCCCAACACACACACACACACACGTCCGTCTACCTGCCAGCCTACGTCCGCAGCCTTGAATTACTCGAAATGTGCGAATATTTGTAAAATTAGATCTTCCGCTTTTCCGATCCGATATTCGCCACCACCTCCTCCCATTGTCTCATCGAATCGAAGCGAGTTTCTTTCGAAGTGAAGAAAACGGATTCTGGATTCTGGATTCTGAGTGAATCGACGATTGGAACGTTTTTTGTTGCAGTATTTTTACGCGCCGATTAATTACGTTCAAGTGTATCGAATTTGGCATTAGCAGCAGCATGATATGATTGTAAAAATCCCTGATATTGTGAGAATGAAATGTAATTGATGAGATGGACTTTGGGTATTCAATGCAGATTCGTGTTTCTGTTGAACAATTGAAGAACCTTTAAGTTTCTTATAAACGCGAATGTAGTTGAAGAAAAAAGAGAATAGTAGCTTTTGTGGCCTACTGTGGGAAGAAAATGATGCGAGTTTGTTTATAAAGAAGAAAGTTAGCGAAGAATCATAACGAAGGGAATATCTATCAAGGATTTATTTGAGAATTTCTATATGTTTAACTTAAAGTTATACAGGAATTTCGATTCGCATAAAGATCGGTTATTGTCTTTTTTGCGAAAAGAGACAGAAAATAGACTGACGCGAAGAGTATTATACTCTGGTGCGTCTCACGTGTGTATTTCTGTACCTTCCAACTTTTCGTAAATGCAGGAAAATCCGTCTAGCGATCAACGATTCTCTCTTGTCATTTTGTAACTCCCAAGTTTTCCCTTTCAAATTCTAAAACTCTCGTAGAGACAGTTTCTACTATATTTGAAAGAAAGAGAAAAAAGAACATTATTTACGAGAGGACCCCGACTACATTAATTTTTCACGTCGGCAAAATTGTTAAGCCACGATCCTCTTTGTTCGATGAACGGTCACGACGCCTCTTAAGGTGATTTCCATTTGTAAATCATGCGACTAAACGATCTCGTATCGGTCCCTCGGCTAATGGAAAACGTCTTAAAAAGTTGCCACGCGCCTCGGGGATACGAAATTTGGAAACCTTGCCGTGTATTCCCGCTGGAACGGCGGGAAAAGGAGTGTCGAGAGATGGTGGGGAGATTCCCGTGACCCCATCCCATTCGTATTTTTCACCCTCCATTTTTACGCCATCTTTTCCCGCTGTCGATCCACCCTCTCTCCATAGTTCTCTCTCCCCCTCTGGGGACTCTGTCCATTTCTCTGTCGCTCGTTCTTCGCTCTCCTCTCGAAAGTCGCGTCGCAGAACGAGGTCTCTCTTTGATTGTTTTAATCAATAACGCCTCGATGATTCGAGCCGCGGTTTGTTCTTTTGTTTCTTCTTCCTTTCTCTTTGTTGAATGAAAATTTCAGTGAAGCTTCGTCGAATGGAATTTTTCACGACTCGCTAAATTTTCCATTCGGAAGCTTGAATCGGAGACTTTTGAAACTCGAAGTTTGAATGGTTTGTTTTTTCGAGTTTCAGTTTCGACTTTTGGCTAAATTGACAAACTTTGTTTTTTTTTTTTGAATAGACCTTTCAATTTGTTGAAGAGCGGGGTAGAATTGGCTCGGCTCGACTCTAAGAAGGTAGCAGCTCTCTGACAACGGGTCTGTTATTCGGAACTTTTATAGGTAGTTGAGTGATAAGAAGATGGGAGAGAAGTTTTTGTCGCTTAAAAAGGAACGAGGAGATCCAATTTCCGTCGTGATGATTGGCCGATTCGATCAGTCGTAACGATAATAGAATTCTTTCGGAACGTTTTTCCGTTCGTTCATTGTCTCCTTCGATCGATACTTGCGATTTTTCCATCTTTAAATTGAAAGAGCTGCGAGAAGCTGTTCGTAAATGCATTCTCTGTTGTTCAAACATACCTGATTATTATTAAATATCACAACAAGCATGTTGCTTTGGGTATTTATACGCGTGGGTTTTGTAGATTTTGCACACTTAAATTCTCCAAAATTATTGTTTACATGATTAATTAGTATTTGAATTCCGCTAAATTGCATTTTGATACTACTGTTATTGTTATTATACTGCACACTTTTGCCCATTTCAGCGTGCAATACTCGTCGTAATTTCCAACAAATAAAATCTCTGTTTAAGTTACTTAAGTTCTCTTTCTACGGTCGTCTCTATTTTTTAACTATTGTAACATTATACATATATATATATATATATAAATTATTTAATAATAATATATATATAAATTATTTAATAATATATATATTGCTGTAACATTTATCCACCATTTTCAGCCTCTGTCTTACAATTTCTTTAACACACGCATTTTGTTATGTTCTTCCTGATTGTATAATTTGCGTAAAGAAAACGAGATCAACGTGACAACGTACGCGTAAGTAGGAGCGCATGCACTGCCTTGAGATATCAAGGAGTTTAAGACCAGAATTTGGAGAACTTGCTTTCCCTTCGTCAAAATATTTCGTCCAATTATCCTCGCGGTTACAGATAGGCGGTCTTTCCTTCGCTGCGTGTACGAGCAGAATAATTATTTTTTCCGGTGCTTCATCTCTTACCCTCGTTCCCCGTGCTTCTCGCAACCCCTTGAGATTTCTAACGTTTCGCGGACCCTTTAACGTCTTTTTCTCTCTCCTTCTTTGTCTCCTGTCGTTCGTCGCGGCCGAAGCGCCTCCGAAGGAGGAGAACGGAAGGGCTGAAGCCCTTTTTGGCTCGCGCGAACGGGAGAAAAGAAATTAGCGAAATTAAACGAGCCGATATAGCCGCGCTCTCGTTTTTAGGGGTTGCTCACCCTTTCGCAGCTTTCACGGAAAGCTGTATTATTTGCGATTAATTATTTGCACGACGCGAAACGATTGGCACGGCAAACGAGGGTAGAATTGACAGACTGCGTTTCAAAGAAGCGTTCAAATTTCCTGTCACTGGGTAGCTTTTCACGGGCGCGCGGGCAACGCGAATTTCTCCGGTATAAAATTAACTCTTGCCGAATATAATTTACCAGTGGACGTTTCGAAAACACGCGCACTTATAACGAGACCCTCCTTTGCCTTTTTTAAAACCAGCTTTCGGGGAGGGAAAAAAAATCCAATTTTTCGAGCGTGAAAATTGTAACAATCGATACTGAAAACTGAGGAGGACTCTTATACATGGACCACGAATTTTTATGCATTTTTACATTTTATACGTTTCGTGTTTCATGTATTTTTTATATATGTATATATATATATATTTTTTTTTGTATTTTTATGACCACAACTAATGAAATGGAATCTAGATAGAAATTTGTTTCATCCACTACAATAGGATTTCAAATTCCTCGTAAATGCATAAAAATCCCCAGTCTACTTACTGACATATCTCCCTTCTTTCCATTCCTAGAAACCTTTCGAACGAAAGATAAAAAGTCGGCAAGAGTTGTTACAACGAACGTAGCTTTTCGCAAAACACAGGAATATCACGTTTAAACGTTATACAAAGGTTACACAACGATAGCAATAAAAAGAAAGAAAGAAAGAAAAGAAAAAATTGGAAAAACACAGGGAGAGAAAAAAAAGTTTCTGCTGCTTAACCGAGTCAAAGTTGGAACCGTGTGTTCGTACCGTGTCTCTCTCCGTCGTGAGTACGATCAGTGTTCGGCAAATATTTGTTCATGGAATTTCGAGCAACGATAAAACGACAAAACGAAAAAGACGAGAAGAGGGAGAGAGCGCTAGAGAGCAGAGAGAGAGAGAGCAGAGAGAGAGAGAGAGAGAGAGAGAGAGAGGCGAACGTTTAATATTTCGGATCGTCTGGCTCGCGAGCGCGGTCGTGTATTTGTTAAAACCTTGCTCGCGAAAAGCAGCAGGCCCTGTTGGGAAATGGAATTAATCTGTCGATGCGTACCGTGCACCCATTTAATATCCATCACGCGTTCATCACTGCAGAAGCAATCCGGCGATTGTTCTCGCGCGCCACGTTGTTTTTTCTTCCTTTCTCTCTCGCGCTCTTCCTTCGGCCGCCGTCCCGTTCCTCTCCATCGGGGATTTTCAGAGGGTGGTGGGGGGGGTGGGGTTGTTGTTTCGGCGGAGGTGTGTGTTCCTCCCGTTCCTCGCCACCTATGCACACTGGACGCGAACGAGCGAGCGAAATTTTCACGCGGCCACGAGACACGACGACACGAGGTCGATGACAAATTTTGAGCGTAGCATCTTAATGCGCCGCGCGCCCGTCGAAAACTGACCCCGCAGCTGGCCGCCTTAAAAAAGGGGGGTGGAACAGGGCCCGGCAGGGAAGGGCGAGCCCTGATCGCTGATGCCCCGTGTCCAAAGGTGGTGGGGGGTAGCAAAGGGGAGAAACGCAACAACCTATCTCTCACAATTACTTCACATTCCTTTTATTCCTCGCCTTTTTCTTCTCCTCTTTTTCCTTTTCTTTTCTCGTCTCCTTCCAGAGGAGAGTGTACTTCTTACCCTTCTCGAGATCGTTCTCGTCCGCTCGAATCTCTTCTTTTCCTTCTCCTTCTTCTCCTTCTTCTTCTACTCCTCCTCCTCCTCCTCCTTCTTCTTCTTCTTCTTCTTCTTCTTCTTCTTCTTTCTCCTCGGTGTATTATCTCGTCCGCTGGTGGCAGACGGAACGTTTCAAGGTGCCACCAGGTCAGACCTGTTTAAGGGGTTTAATTCAAGGGTCGCGAGAGGGGCGGCGAGGCGGGATACGAAACAGGGGCGAAGCGAATGTACGCGTCGCGTGAATTGCAACATTGCCGCGTTTCCAGCCAGGTAAATTTACCTCGCAACGCACAGGGGGAACGCGTTTGCCACTTTGTCTCCGTTTCTTTTCTTTTTTTTTCTCTCTCCCCGTTTTTTTTTCTGTCATTTCTCTCAGCCATGCCAGGTTTGGAATAATGTATACGTATTCGAGGACAGGGTACAGGGCAATAGACTCTCGGTTGCATCGCGTCAGGATCGGTTGCGTCGCGTCGTCAACTGTCGGGAGAAGGTTGAACAGACTGAAGGGACACAATGAATGTTTCAAGTTTCCAAACGACCATCTCTGTTTCGTACTTTATTTAATTTTTATTCGATAATGGACAATACATATGCCCGCGTTGTTTATTCATACGCGCGCGAGCCCTGCGCGCCACTTCGTTTCTCTCCCCCCCCCACCCCCTCCCTCCCTCTTCCCCCTGACATTACACTTTATTTCTCTCTTTTATTATTTATCACCGGCGAAATTTCGCGCATTGTTTTCCAAAACACTGCAACTAATCACCACGTTACCTCCCTCTTTCTCCCTGTTTTCCGTGCACACCACCCTCTCTCTCTCTCTCTCTCTTTCTTTCTCTCTTTCTCTCTCTCTCATTCCGTGTGCACCTATTCGATCGATCGTTCCCCGCGAAAGCCTGGTATATAACTCCGTTTACGGTCGATCCTTGATTATTTCGTGCGCGAATTTTCCACGATCTCTTCCGTACGTTTATTACTAGTATTTTTGATATTCTCTCTCTCGTTTTTTTTTTTTTTTTATTTTAAATTGCGGAGCGTAGCGAAAGCGTGAGTTTTGTGAGACCAGCTGAAGCAACGAGAAAAGCTAGAGAACTGACACGACGAGACAGAGCGAAAGAAACGAGGAGAAAGGAGAGTAGCGTGAGATTTTTCCCGACTCTAGTCCGGATCAGCCATTTTCCTCCAATCCGCGTGCTTTTGGTTTGTTAGTTTGCGGCTAAAGCGTGTAGCGGTCAGACTTCTGCAAGCAAGGAATATTAATAGTTGTTAGAGTCGAGCGCGGTAGACAATCGTCGAAGAGACACGTTGCCAACGTTCGATCGATAGAACGATGATACAAAATAAAAAGAAAATCAATCGTCACGATCTTTACGTTACTTGTTCAAATTTCTATCTCGATCATCGATCGTTCGCATCGAGGTGTCTTCAACACGAATTGTTCACGACGAAGCACGAAGCTCGAGATTAGTAGAAATCTTGTCGTAAGATCTTAACGAAGCTTTACCTGTATCTAAACTCGTGTCTCGTGGATCTTCGATTTAGCAGTCTCTCGTCATCCTCGTCTCGGTCATGCTCGTCACCATTGTTGTCATCATCGTCGTCGTCGTCGTCCTCCTCCTCGTCGTCCTCGTCACCATCCTCTTCCACTTCGTACGAACCGTGTTTCCAGTTCATCCGACACTGATTCGCGAGACCGATCAGTTTTCCTCGTTTTCACTCACTCGCGCACCTATTTCACCGCCTGTCTCACGAAACTTGCCGCCCTGCTAGGGCGGTGGGTAAAACGAAGAAAAAGAAGGAGAAGGAAAGAAAGAAACAAAAGAAAAGAAAAAAAAGAGTCGGATGACGAAACTGCACGGCGAGAAAGGACAGATCACGCGTAGATATACGACTCGGCTCTTATCGACTTAGCGAGCCGCTGAGAAGAAGAATCGCTGGCTCTGGTGGTAGACAGCGCGCCGATTCTTCCCACTTTCTCTCGTTTTCTTTCAAAGATCTCTCGGCTGACGAGCACCGATCTCCGCGTGCGTCGCTCCGACCGCACACTCGTTGGCGGTTCCACACGACGACGCTAGGCACGAGGACGAGACACACTGTGGTCGCCAGTCGCTAGTCGAATCTCGTCTCCTCCGTGCGCGTGTCGCGGAAAAACGTGCCCGCTTCCTGATTAACCAACTCCGCCGCACGGCGATGCTGAATTTTTCGTAAGTGGTGTGTGCCGGCGAAAACGTGCACCAGGGCCGTACCGCGGCTCGACACCGCAGAGGGCGCCGATGAACAACTCGCGTCCACCCGCGTTTTCCCGAGGCGGTGAATCACTCGTTGTTCGCTCCCGATCTTCTCTCCCGATCTCTCCTTCGATTCACTCTCCTTCGAAATCCCTCGTCGCCCACTGTCGGGATTCACTGCGATCCTGCAAATTTCTCTTTTCCACGGTCCGGGTTGATCGGATGATGTTCCACCGAAACGATCCCGATTGCGTCTTCGGATCAAGTGATTTCTCGATCGCGAAGGAGGAGGCAGAGGCGCGGAGCAGAGAACGCCGTTTCGGGAGAGGTTCGCGATGTTACGATTTTCAGTGCACTGAAATCCGCGGGCACCGCGTCCGCAAGTGGGAGGGACTGGTTCGCACGTGACTCAGTGTGTCGTATTCTTTTCTTCCTCGTTCGGATATGCTGCCGCATCCGTGGCGCGGCCCTTTTCCCGTGGAAATCGCTCGCTCGCTCGCTCGCGCGTCTCGGGGCACGCGGACCGCGGGTCGCTGAACGTAACCTTTATCACTTCCTGCCCGATCAACCACGACCGTCCGTCATTATTCTAATTCGACGTTGGACGTTCGACGACGAGAGTCGAGAGGCGGCGTTGTCCCGGGTCCCCTCGTGATCACTGGCGACGCCTCCGATTTTTCTCTCTCTGCCAAACAGAGAACAAAAAAAAAAAAAGAAAAAACTTTCTCCGAAGAAACGTTCTCCGTGCGAACCCCTATCCCCACCACCACCACCACCGCCACCTTGGTCCCGGGTGAGAGAGGGATTTACGGGATACACGCGTCGTGAAAGACGTCACCAGTTTCGCACGTGCGTGTGCGTACGTAGCAGGTACGCGCGAAATAGCCGATGTCGAAAACGGAGCTGATCGTTGTTGTTGTTGTTGTTGTTGCGTGGTCTTGCTCCCTCAGGATCCCTGGGTCCCGGATCGAGAGAACGATCGAGCGGCTCGGTGTTGGCTGGAACGGCTCGTTTCGCGCACCAGATTCTATCGGACTCTATGAAAATCGAGCAACCAGCGTGTTTCTCAGCCTCCCTTCCTTCTCCTTACTCGTTGCTCTCGATGCTCGGACTCGCGTTCCTGGTCCCTCGGGTGGATGATCTCTCTCACCGCGTCTTCGTCGTCGTTTCGTCGAGTCGTCGAGTCGTCGAGTCGGTAACACGCCACCGGTTCCCTCGGCCACCCGGTTTCCCTCGGTTTCACGGCAGACTCTCCACTCTTCGATATTTCTGCGATTTATTGCGGCGCGACTTAGAAATGCATCTAATGCGGTGCACGCCGCATAGAATGCATGCATGCACCTTGGCGGCGGGGAGGGCGAGCCACGGAGAGCCGAGAAGTCGGGCCGAGGCGAGTCGAGTCGAGTCGCGGCGCGCAACGCGTCTGCGCATGCGCCCCCGATCAGACCGTGTGTACTCTACTCGCGCGCGCGGTTAGGCGAGCGCGAGCTCTAGCGAATATGAGCGAGCGAATCGGCCCGCCACCGCCACCGCCGCCACCGCCATTGCCATCGCCTCCGCCACCGCCACCGCCGCCGCCGCCGCCGTGTATCTTCGCTACGTCATTCATTGGCGTGGAGAGTGAAAATCAGAGCTCGTTGCAGCAGCCTCTCTGCAACTGTACCAGGAACGGTAAATCAACGACACGCCGCGCTTTCCGCGCCTCTCCGCGCTTCCTCGTCGCGAAAGTTTCGCACATCTTTTACCGCCGTCGAATCCATCCAGTCCCGTATCTCCGAACGGAGTAATATTTGAGACTGGAGGGCCGAAAGTCGGTACCAGTCTACGGATGAACGAAGCGTAACTGCAATTCATTGATATTAATTTCCTCCGTCTGCAAGTAACTGAAATTCTTCTTGTTATGAGAATTGATTGAAAATCTGACGACCGAGTCTAACAAATGGTTCGTTTGTCAATGACGATTAAGCGGAAGGATGTATAAACGTGTAACTCTCAAGTTACGGAGGGTTGAAACGTGCGTTTATTTCAGGGAATTCCCAAATGGAAGTAGACGACTTGAACATTTCGCAAATGTTGCCACTGCGTGAATAACAAACTTAGGGATCGCAAGGAAGAGAGTAGTCTCGAAAATTGGACCATTCATAGAGTTGTTACATAGATGTTTCGCGTGGCATTAAATGGCACCTTCCGAACGATCAATCGTTTTGAATACAGTAATCTTCGAAATTGGACCATGTATGAACGAATTTACTGTTTCACGTTCTTACGAATACTCAAAGACCAAAGAAATGAAGTTCATTTCCCATATTGCACATTCGATGTATATTATGCATCTTTGCACCTTTAAATTTCCTGCAAGTGCATAAAAATTCATGGCATTCTCTCGAATAATATTCCTCGAGGAGAAATTTTGCAAGAAGCATCCGTGAGTTTGCACACGCTCGCGAATGCTCCGGAAGCGTGTACGTCTGCGCGCTACGACTCGGAGATGCGCGGGAAAATCTCGATACTACGTACAATTGTTCTCGATGTCTTCTGTCGAAGCTCGAAATTCGATCGACGATCAGCAATAAACAAATGCATTTCACAATTGTAGAGAGTCATACATTTTATCGATATTTAAAAGACACGTGGAAGAAATACGTATTCGTATTGCCGATCAGTCGGAACAGGTCGACTAGAAAAGGAGAAACTACGGGGCGACGTTGAAGTAAAAATTTAAAGAAAAGTCGCAAAGAGCTGGAATTTTGCAACAACGAGTGGTGAAAAAAAAAAAAAAAAGAAAACATGAGGGAAGAAGGAGTACGGCGACGTACGTAGATACGAAACGCGGGAACTTTGTCTCGCGTGGCGGAGGAGCAGGCCACAGAGCAGGCCGCGCAAAATGGCTTCCTCCTTTTCAGGAATTATCGCGATGTAGGAAGTCTCGGTTGGCGGCTGGTGGAGGGGGTGGAGGTGGCCGCGGAGCCGGCTGTCGGCCGAAAGTTTAAAATAGAATATCTCGCGAGTAACTTTCATCGGTCGTCAAAAAATCATGCAGTGTCGTACCTAGCGGGGGGCACGAAAACCTCCCACCCACCTCGCGGGGCGGCGAGGAGCGGCGAGAAGGAGAGGACAGGCGGGAGCAGGCGGCGGCTGGCGAGGTGAGGTGAAAGGGGAACGACTCGCGCGCGAGAAGAAGGAAACGTACGGGGAGAGCAGCCCTCTCTTCGCGCCGCGAACCGCCGAGCTCTAGGATAGGCCACGCGGTTCGACGTTGGAAACGTAGTTGAACCTACTCTCGTCGTCGTCGGACACATGCACGCGCGCGAACCGAACCCGCGCCGAAGGAGGAACGCGGCGCGCGGCGTTCCGCGCGAGAATTTACCGCCGGTGAACTGCGCCCAGGCAGGAAGTTCTCGCACCGCCGAGGAAAGATATTTCAGAGCTTTTGTGCTGATCGCGTCGGCCGATTCCCTATTAGGAATTACCTAGGGAGGCCTAGGGACGTCGCGAATTCGACCCTGCACGCTCCGAATCGATCCGCGTGACGCGAATGCAACGTTCGATGTCCGTGTTTCCAACGGAAAGGGAAGAACGTGCCTCTCGGACGTCCAGTCGAAAATCTCCGACACACGCGAGGCGAGACTGCGAACGTTTATAGCTTTTAGCAGAGCCGTGTGATGAGAAAATAAAATAACAAGATGGTCTAAGTCGACTATGCAAAATAGATCTCTGGTATTTTCGCGTTTTTTTTTTTTCGTTATTCCACGACTCGTCGTCGTCGTCGTTCGTTTACGCGCTCTCTGGTCTTTGGTTCAGTTTATTTCAGTCGCGTCGTCGTGTCAAAACAGAAGGAGAGAAACAGAGAGAGAGAGAGAGAGAGAGAGAGAGAGAGAGAGAGAGAGAGAAAGAGAGATGCTTCATACTGTACAATCCATTGAAAAGCGAACAAAAATCTATTCGTTGGAAACGTTTTCCGGATGAAACCAGCTGTTTACCGTACGCGGAAATCTCTGTCGTGACGTGCACGCCAGGAGAGCACTAGTGGAAAAAGGGAGGAGAAAGAGGGAGAGAGAAAAAATAGAAACGCTCTGGATGGAAATGCATTTTCGGTTGGCACGCGCGGGACAGGAAACGCTGAGAGAGGCGAAGCGTGCGCGGCACAGAGCGGCGCGGATAATCCGCCGGCTGGTCCCGCGGTGCCTTTTTCTTTTTTTTTCCCCCCCGGCGGCCACCCCGGCATCCTCCCACCCCCATTTGCCCAGGCCGGCCACCCTGTTCGCTTCTCTGGACGTAGCCGGTCTCGGCCGCGTCGCACCGCGCCTGCCCGCTCGCTTTTGTTTTCCTCTATTTTCCGGTTTTTCCGGGCGGGCCACACCGGTCGGCCGCTGGTACGCGCCGCGCAACAAGTAGCAGATTATAAAAATCACTCGTCGGCTCGGGGGCGTGACAGGGGAAAAAAGCGGTGGAGTAAAAAAGGAAAAAAAATGTACGGGGGCGAGGGAGAGAGGGCGGGAGGGAAGGAGGGAAAGAAAGAAGAACGAAGCGAGCTCGGTTACGTCCACGGAACGGTCACGCGAAACAAAGAGGGCAACAGCAGGAGGTGGAGGAGGAGGAGGAGGAAATGGAGGAGAAGGAGTGATCGCGGGATAGAAAGAGAAAGAGAAAGAGAAAGAGAGAGAGAGAGAGAGAGAGAGAGAGAGAGAGAGAGAGAGAGTAAGAGTGAAAGATATAGAAGTGCGGGTGAAGCGAGAAAGCGCGCGAAAGAGGGAAGAAGCGGAGGCGATCGAACGGGCGCGAAGGCGCGACAGGGATGGAGCTGGAGAACGAAAAAGAGAGTCGACCGACCACCGACGCGGGATGGAAGTATCCAGTGAAAGAGATGTGGGAGGAAGGGAGAAAGAGGGAAGCGAGAGAGAAGCGAAAGATACAGGGGAGGGTTGGGAGGGAGAAAGCGAGTAAAAGCGAGAGAGAGAGAGAGAGAGAGAGAGAGAGAGAGCGAGCGAGCTTGCTCGCGGTGAAAGAGAGAGGAGAAAGGAAGAGGGAGAGAGAGAGAGAGAGAGAGTGATGCGGGCGTAGGTACACATTTACCCATACATATGTATGTTTCTTCGTCCCTCGCGTCGCCCTCGCGTCGCCCTCTCGCCGATCCACACCCTGCTCTGCACCCCGCCGCCCCTCTTGCGCTGCAGAGCATCCCTCTTACTCTCGCGCGCGCTCGGCCCGTGCGTGGCGATTTACATTAAACGCTGGTCCGTTGCCTCCCGTTCCGCAGAGACGCGCGAGCGTTGCCGAGGGGCGAGCACGGCTGCGGGACAGAGACAGAGAGGAACGAGGTGGAAAAGGGGAGGGAAGAGAGAATGGCAGCAGGGAGGAAGAGAAGAACCCCTCTCTCTCACTCTCACTATCTCTCTTTCTCTCTCTTACACTTTCTCTCTTTCTCTGTTTCTCTCTCGTTCTCCGCGACGGACAGAACAGAGGAGAAAATCGTCCGAAAATACGCGGATACGAAACACGGCGAGCCAATACGCGCGAGGTTCGCGCGACAAAAAAGATTTCCTCGATCCCTGGGTTTCGATCGCGACCCCCCGGTGCACCTCGACGCACTTGTACGGGGAGAATGTACCGGTACTCGCGCGCGTGTGTTACGTATATATTCCAACGCCAGTTTTCCCGGGTATTTGGGAAATTTCTGGATCAGAGCCGATGCTCTTTGTTCCCTCTGTTTCACACGTTCGCGACTGTTCCGTCGCATACGTTCTCTTTTCTTCCTCTTCTTCTTTTTTTCCCTCTTTCATTCGGTCTTATTTTTATTTCATGAACGAGACTCGATCTTTTAATGGATGCAATAACGAGGATACGTAGTTAGTCGCGTTGGAGCTCGGTCTGTAGCTATAACGCCAAGTAAATTGGTTTCTATTGGTCTCTAGCATCAAAGAACTTGAATGCTTTGCTGCAGACGTACGATAGAGTACGGCTTGCATTATGCTTGGATAAAAATCTGTCTAGGTTTCACGAAAGAGAATTATTTTCTCGCCTCTTCTATCGTGAGAATTTTCCTAAGGTTACGCAGGGAGCATTATTGGAGCATTATTGATATTTTATATTATATTGTCATGTTGGTATATTTATTTATTTATTAAAAACATGAGCGAATACCTTACGTTACATGCAGAAGTACAAAAATAAAACTGTCGAAGAAATTTTTTTATCGGTAAAAAAAAAAGTATGATCGACAGACAAACGATCGAAAAAACGAAAAAAAGATTGGAATAGAAACTCTTGTCGCTCTCGTATATTTTTTTCCCCCTCCGCGCATCGAGCAACTCGTCTGCGAGTTTTTCGCGCCCCCGAACGGCGATCATCGGAGGAAGAAGTCGACGACGCGTGGTTTTCGCGCGGTTCGTTATTAACGAGATTGCAATTTCTACGTTGACCCTCGTCCTTTCTGAT